TAATGAAATTCATTCTGGAATTTAAAATCCATAAATACTAAATATAAAGAAATTAATAATAAAATTGTAAAAATCATAATACATCTCATTTAAATACTTTTGAATGAGGAAATTTATTCTCAAATACAGATGTTCTTCAAATAGATTTTAAAAAATATTTCTAAATGTATTAATTTTTGTTATTTTTAGATTTTAAGTTGTAAAATTTTGTTCATTACATTTTTTTTTTAACACTAAAATTTATAAGTGGGTGTGAAAAAATGAAATCAAATTCAATAAGATATTGTATTTAAAATTAAAAAATATACAAGAATTTTATTTAAACTCTAATTAATTAGTAAATATGTAATATACATCACAAATTTTTTATCAATCGGCTTAGAGAGTATTATAAAGTCTATCTATGTGTCATCATTTCTTTTTATGCTATTCTTTTTATTGTTATTTAAAATGTTATCCCCTCAATAATATTTACATATTGTAATGTTTTATAATAATCACATTAAAAATGTTTGTATTAGGTTTCCCACAAATATTTTTGGATTTCGTTTTTTTAGTGTTTTAACGTAGCACTTTGGATGTGTCTTTATTCCTTTCTGAAGTTAAAAACCAAAGGAATGGCACTATAAATCAATAGTGTGCAAGATTGTGTGTGTATTTGGGCTAGAAAACAGATAAACAGTGTTGTAGGAAAAAGAACTTTAAGTCATATATAGGGAACAGTCAACAGTTCAGTACATTATCTATATTTGCAGCTTAATTTAAAAAAGATAATTTCTGCTGGTCGTAAGAGATCGCCTCCATCCCCGAAGATTCCAAGCAGACGTTTGCTGAAAACTTTGTTGTTAAAGAAATTTGATGAAAAAATTAAAACTACCTCGTATATAGGTTAGAAAGCCTATATTCGATCTAAATAATTTTATCTTCGTCTTGTAAGGAGCATGCGACATCGATTATTGCATCCGGTTGAGTTGCTAAGTGCGGAGTTTCGACTACACTGTAGATTGTTTCGGTGCATCTTGTAGGTTTGTGGAAGCCAAATTGAAGCAGCATATGTCGCCATGAACTGCTGGTGATTGCCTTTAGAGCGTTGTTGCAACTCTTCAAATAAGTGCACACATACGTCTCATATGTGCAGAAAAGAAGTATACAGACAAGTACGATTCTCAAGATTTTTGGTATAGTGGTGGTGCGGGTCCTAAATTTACCAATGAATATGGGTAGAGTAAAGGCAATATTTTTAGTTTAGGAAGTAAAGAAAGTCGTCGAAGATTTGACTTCCGATAAGTAAAGATTTCTAACTCGAAAACATTATTAGGGAAATATGTACATTGATTTTATTGCATAATATAGCGGGATCTTAACCTATGGTAAAAACGTGCAATCATGTGCATACATTATGACTTTGACTTTTTCTGTTCTTGATGTTAGTGCTGTTATTTCGTACTTTGACTGTTATATACATATGTTACAACAGTATAATAAATATGTATAGCATATATGTATATACCATATAATGTATGTATAATAATAGTTTTAGTAAAACGAAATCTATTATTTTTGTATGAAATTGCAGGCTATGGGTAATATAGTTAGAATGATTCGATTTAGGTCAAATATGCACCATTTTATTCAAAATCTTCGTTCTTGTTGGTAAAAAATTTAAACAGCCGATTTTCATAAGCCTCGCTTGAAGAAAATTTTTTACCCATAAAATTGTTTGCCATAGACAGGAACATTCATTAATCACTTGGTGCCAGGTCGGAACTATAAGGTGGATGGATAAGAACTTCCCAATCAGAAGCTTTTGGAGAATCAAAATCGATGTGCGGGGGATATGGCGTTGGCCACACACCACTGCGATAGAACACAATTCCTCTCCTATTTCCCAAAGCTGGCCGTTTCTGGGCGATTGCTTTGGTCTATTTGTTCAGACGGACAGTTCGGTTCCAAGTTAAGAGTTTTGCCGTAGGGGAAGCAAGTTATAGTAGATGATTCCCTGTTAAACCTAATAAACACACAGTAAAACCTTCCTGGCCGGCAAAGGTGTACGTTTTAAAATTATCCGTTATATTTCAATAAGACCCAATGTTCTTCTACAGTTAGTTTTTTTTATAGTTTTTATATTTTCTTCTTTTTTTTTTGTATTTCCTTAACCTTCATATACATATATATGTACATAAAAGTGTAACAACAATCAGTACTTTAAAAATACGTACTTTTAATTATGTAGTATTCTTATATTTTTAAGTATTTTTTATTTTTTTTTGTCATGTTTCATTTAAATAATTGAATTAAATGATTGTTTTTTTTTTATGACGATCATAAAATAAAGTTCACAAATTGACAGAGGCTCATTTATTTTGCATTTAGCAAAAACAAAAAATAATTGAATGTCAAATTTGGGTATTTCAAACTTATTTGCTTTTTTTAATAAATATGATAAGCTAAAACCAAAACAAAAAAAATATATAAACCGCAGACATGTGTGCATTTTTGTATATTTATTTTTATATCGTTTTTTTTTAACTTGTTTTTTTTTCACGTTTATGTTTTTATTGCCGCTTCCAAATAATGCCAACGAGTTCCCTCTCGTAGTTTCTTTTGACGAAATTTCGCAAAAACATAAAACATACACACACACGCATACACACACGCACGCACGCATACAAACCCCAACAAACCAATAAACAAATGAAATCATCTCACAAATTTCAACAGTTATGATATCAGTTTGTTTTTGTTTTTGCTATTATTTACCTTTGAATTTTGTTTTGTTTTCTCTCAAACTAGGGGTTTGCACTCAATAATTTTATTGTATTTTGTTTTTTTGTTGTGTTTTTTTTTGTACTTTTATTCTTTGTAATTGTGCGGCGATATTATAAATATATGTATGCACATACGTATGTATATAGTATAAAAATATTGTAATATGCCCTACAATTCAAATTAATAAAAGTGAAATTTTATACCCATTTAACTTATCTATCGAATTAAACTCTTTATGATATAACTTCCATATCCCCCTTACCTTATTATTGTTTACAAGGTCAAAGAACTTGTCTACTGTTTCCTACTACTATCATGAGAACTGTAAACATTTTTGCAGCTGAGAATATAGACGATAGACACAGCGGTATATGCGACAAACTTCTAGCACATACTCTGTCCATAATTAATATGGAGCAAGTGTTGTCTCTTTCATTATTTCCGTCATGCAATAATTTCAATTATTTTTTTAACTAATTAATTCTCTAAACAACAAACACTACGCCCTCTTTTTACAATTGATGTGTTTGTTGTTGTATTGCAATAGTTTATTGTTATTGTTATGTACTAATTTGACAAAGCCGTATTTATAAAATGCCATATTGTAAAAAGATAAAATAATTTGCAAAACTTTTGCCTCAATTATTTTGTTTTTCATTATTTGATAACAGTAAGGAACATATAAAAATAAATGGGCTTGACAATATTATCCAGATATAAGTAGAGAACAGCAGATACTAAACAAATACACTATATGCGTATGTACATATAAGGCCACGACTATCACTGATACTTCCAGACTTTACCTTTTAATTAATTACTGTTTATACATACATATAATATTTATAAGATAATGAAAATTTTTTATTAATTGACATTGAGCTTCGATAAATTAATATATTAGATTATTGAAAAATCATTTCAATAAATATTGATATTCTTTTTTTAATTGATCAGATGTTATGAATAGTTATAATTATTACGTTATAAAAATTATTTTATTATTTGTCTAGACTGGATAAAAATTTTAGGTTTAGATAAGTTAAGAAATAGATACCAATGAACATTAATCATATGATCTTATTACTGTTAATAATAGGTGTAGTAAAAAGAAATCCATTATTTTTGTATGAAATTGAAGACTTACCATAGTCAGAATGATCCGATTTAGGTCAAATATGCACCGTTTCGTTCGATAACTTGTTGCCATTTTGAAAATAATTTCATTATATCTTTCTCATCGTCGACAGGCTAATAGTGAATGGGCCTATACTACCCCAGCAGTCAAGTCAAAGGGTACATGGCCAATCTCTTCCAAATGCAGAACCTCTGACTTGATACACAGAAGTAAATCAGAGGTATTTAGGTTAATATCTGTCTCTACAAGGCACTGGTCCATAGAACGAAGAAGAGTTAACTTAGCCTATCCTGTGGTATTTCCTGCAGGCATGTCTACCAACTCTCGAAGAAAGGACACCAGAACACATGTCGTATCTATGTAAGAGCTGTCTGTATGACTAGTGAACATCATGAAGGAGATCGCGCTATAAATATTTTATTAAATTATAATTTATCCATGTATATCATTTTACCATGCTCATAAAATTTTTGATTTTTGTTGACTTTAAAGTAATAATTCAAGTTATTTGGACATCTTGATTTGAAATAATGGTTTAGCCGTATAAAATATTTTTATAGAAACCTATAACAGAGATAATTTGAAGGTGTCAGAAGTAGAAAATTTATTGGGTGGTAGTTCTATTCAAACTTTAGAAGCTTTTGGAAAGTCACTAAACTTGTATAAGCTAGAGCTTTATCTTGATGGAATGCTTCTTCTTTTTTTGCTCAATACTGGGTTTTATTGTCTTGTATTGTATTTATTATAGAAAAATTAATATTATTATATGAAAAATAAAATTTGTGCAATTTATAAATTGGTCGTATATATTTCAGAATTAATCGTGGTATTATGTGATAGAAGTTGAAACAAATAGTTTTATATTTTTTTAATGAATATTAACTTTCAGTTTGGTTTTTAATTTTATGACCTGTTCCTATTCCTTATATCCAGTGATAGTTTACTTTAAAAATGCATAATTTTCTTGATTTTTGACAAAAAATCTTTTGTTTTTTTTTGGCGTGAGAGTTTTTAAACTGATCATTTATTATCTATTATAATATATCGTATACAGGGTATAATAATAATTAAATATATCATATTTTATTTGCAGGTCAGAATGCATGTGAAAAGAAGTCGTTCATATTTTTACGAAAAGAGCTACCCGTACGACTAGCGAACATCATGAAGGAGATCGCGCTATTACCAGACAATTTATTAAACACAAGATCAGTAAGCCAAGTAAGCACTTGGTATATGAAAAGCTTCGAAGAGGTGATAGAATTTGAAAAAGCTGAACCGACACACTGCAATCTACAAAAGTATGTTTTATATGAATATATATTGGATATATATTAAATATATTACCATATGTACAAGGTGTTTCTTAAAAAAATTACTTAAATGCAGGAGATTATCATATAATAAGTTATATAACAAATCTTTAAATGATCTTTAATCAAATATTATATTTAAATGACTTTAGAAACAATTATAATTCTAAATTTATTTATGTGAAATATTTTGTCATTTTCCACAAAACCTTATTTGTAAAACAAAGTATATTACATATATACCGACTATAAACTTAAGTAAAAAGAATTTCGAATATTTCCTAAGATCACTGATAATGAGTACTTAGTAATACTTGAAACGCTAATGGTTAGTCAAATTTCAATAAATTAACTAAACTTTTGTTCTTGTCTTTCTTTGCTATTCGAATTCTTCGAACTTTCAAAAAAGAGCTTCTTTGTCATCATTAGAAGCGTAACTTTCGGCAAAAATAATTAACTTCAAAAAACCTTATTTGTCTTAATATCTTCTGCAGTTATATCATTTTATTAGGAAACACCCTGTTTATATTGATATAATAAAACGTGTACAAAATATTTTTTCATTAACTAATTTAATTTATGCTTTTATAGATTTTGTAGTACGATCGGACAAATTCGGAATCGACACAGTGAAGTTGTGCAGACAATGGCACAAGGTGTCATCGAACTGAAAGAAGCGCAAGACGGAAACGTTGACTCAGCATTGGAAACCTCGATACAATATTTTCTGGACCGTCTATACATGTCGCGCATTAGCATACGAATGCTAATTAATCAGCACAGTAAGTGATATCACTCGCTACTTTTACTTTTACGCAATAAAATTTAAAATTTTATTTTTATCAACAACGTAGCGTTATTGTTCGGTAAATATCCGAATGAGCAAGGGCGACATATTGGCTGCTTGGATCCGGCATGTCAGCTATCATCTGTTGTGATGGATGCCTATGAGAATGCGCGTTTTCTGTGTGATCAATATTATTTGACTAGCCCCGAATTGCAAATCAAGGAATATAATCAAATGGAAAATGAAACGTTACCTATACGTACTGTGTATGTGCCATCGCATTTATACCATATGCTTTTCGAACTATTTAAAAATTCTATGCGCGCGGTTGTAGAGCGCCATGACCAAGATAAGTGTGATATACTTCCACCAATAGAAGTAATGATTGTACGTGGTAAGGAAGATATTTGCGTTAAGGTATGTATTTTTGAATTTATTTTATGAATAATTATATTCTATAAATCTTTGAATTTTTATTTTATTTTAAATAGATCTCAGACCAAGGTGGTGGTATACCACGTTCACAAACCGATCAACTATTTAAATATATGTATAGTACAGCACCGCAACCTTCAAAATCGGATTTACATACAGTACCATTAGCCGGTTATGGTTATGGACTACCAATTTCTAGACTTTATGCACGCTATTTTCATGGCGATATCGTTTTACTTTCATGTGAAGGTTTCGGTACTGATGCTATAATCTATATGAAGGTATATAAATGTTTTGTTGATTGAACTATGCAAAATCTTTTACTTATAATTGTATCATTGCTTTAGGCACTTTCTGACGAGGCAAATGAACTTTTACCCATATTCAATAAGACAAGTTCTAAGTTCTATCGTGCAACTGTACCCACTGGAGATTGGTCTAATCAGGTAAAACACATAAAAAAGAAGAAGGATGCTGTTATAATTTAGAGTAGTGAAGTTACTAAATGTTCATGGGTTAATTGGTGGCAAAAAAGAAATTCTAATGAATGAACCAAGTTGATGTTATCCAAATCCCACTGGTCCCTCATTATAGCATATATTTTAATTATATTATTATAATTGATTTGTTACAGTTGTTGTACTGTAGATTTTTAGAGATTATTATCTATTGCGATTATTGTTAATTTTTATGTTATTTGCATGTTTTTTCCCCCCAAAATTTGCTTTATTCTTTGCCGTGTATTTCATGTGTGTAAAAGAATTAACTAATTTGTATATATTTAATAAAAGTGACATTCCAGAAACATTTTGTAATAAGTAAAAAGTTTAAAGTTTTTTCATGTTGTTTTTTTAGAGTTTAAAATAAAAAATGTTTTAAGTTTCGATGACATTAATTTTTTTTATATTATTTTTATATAAATTTCAAATTAAAAGATTTAGAAAAAAGTTTTTTAATTTTTAAATTTTAATTGTGTAAGTTTTTAGTTTAATTTTCCAGGCCGCAAAAGAAAGAGTGAATAATTTTATATCTTATTGAAATTTATATTTTATATTATTTTATTTATTTAATAAAGTTTAATTTTAATTTTATTTTATAAAAATTATTCTGTATTTAATATACATATACTTTGAATTTATATTAATTTGTTTTTAAACTTTACACTTTTTCATTTTTTCATTGATGTATTTAAGAATGAATTTAATAATTATTACTATTTTCATTATATAAAGCAAATAAAATAAATTGAAATTAATATTAAACACGACAGAATCATGAAGCAAAGCTTAACATTATGTTATAATAGGGAAAAATATTTAAATAATATTTAAAAATTTTTGGTTAAACATTATAACTTAAGTTTAATTTATTATTATTATTATTATATTTCTTTTGTATACTATATATTTGAATAAAAAAATAAGAATATTTTTGTAATAATATTAGACGCACATTTTATGTTATAAAAATTTTTATGAAAATTAGTCAAATAAACATTTTTAAAACAATGTATGCTTTTAATGATTAATTTTTTTTTCTGATGTTTCAATTTCAGGATTAAAATTTGAATGTTTTTGTTATTATTGTTATCCTTTTGAGTACTCCCTGCACGTTGCGATTTCGTTAAAGTTAATAAACTAAATCAGCCTTTTTCTATATATGTTAAGCTACATTTTATATATCATTTTATTTAAATTATTTGTATAATTTCAGAAATTTTCCAACCGTTGGCGTTATTTATATAGTCAATTTCAGACTAAAAATGATTAGCGTACGTTTTCACTATAAATTATTTATAGATGTTTATTATTAATGTTTCACATTATGCATTTTTCATATCGTTTGCCGTCACATTTAAAGGCAACTTATGCTTGATTAATAATTTAGCCCTTTAGTCCTTTTTGAGCTTACACATTGTACATTTATACTGTATATATATAAAAAAAATGTAATTTGTGTTTTCGAGAATCCACCGGCTTTTATTGTAGCATCGAGGTCTAAAGACAGTATTTTAAATTTTAAATAATTTTGAATATAGGGAAAAGTATTTAATTGAATTAATTACAGTATTTGCTCACCATATGCCATTTTAACATTGTGCTTGCAGAATAGCAAACAGGATTAGACCAAATGTTTAAGCTATAGTTTAAGCTACTATATTTATATGTTAGAGTCAGGGTTTTTTTGTCACAATTATAGTGAAATATTTTTTTATTTATGAATATTTATTTTACTACATAATCGGTTCATAGCCTAAAGATCACCAGCATAGACAATGGTAGGAAATGTAAGGAACCGGTTTTTTCGAAAATTCGAACAATATTTTTACAGTTAACAGTGTTTAGGAGTTGAACTTTGTCTCTGACCTTGTATTAAACTATCACCGTAAATTCGCAAACAACATTTTAACATTAAGCGATGTGTACCTTCACTAACTGCCTTTAAGGACTCTAGCTTGGTAACGGTATGATCATATTAGGCATAACGTGGTCTTCGCCAGCCAACACTTCCTACTTATCTATACAATCGGGAAATGAGATAAAAGAATGAAATTTGGTGCACTTTCGATAGAATTTCTACCAATCACAGACGAAAGAAGAAATATAACTACTTTTTGCGACAAACAATGATACAGTCACAACTTAAGGACAATATAATTAAGTGGTACAAAACAGAAGTATCTTAGACCTATAGGTCGACATAGAGCCAAGCTGAACCTGCCATATAGAAACTCCTGTAGATGGCGTTTGCACCGGAAAATCTGTTTTATTACTGTTCAGGCTTGTCCACATTAAGAGTTTAGCATATCGGCTAACAAAAAAAAGTCACATATGCTATTGTATTAGTATGGAGAAAAAATAATAAATAAAATATTTATACACAATATCTTTACGTCTTCAGTAGCCATTTTTATGTTATATTATAGATGCAGACATGTGTATTTTTATGACATACAAAATTTAGATCTGATATAATACTTTTAATAATATATACTATATAATATTGTTATATATAGAATACAATAATGTATTTCTGTCCACAATTGTCCGGTTTCAGAGTTGAGCATATGGCTTAAGCATGTGACTTAACTCTGACCACATTATCCAACTCATTTCATACCACCTCTAACACAGAAATCAGCCAAAAACTGCTGCGTATAAAAGAGAAATGATATATAATAGTACATGAAATAGGAAAAAATGTTTAGCATATAATTTAGTCTAGAATTTCTCAACCCACGATCCGTGGACCGCGTCATTATAACTACCAGTCCATATAATATATTTTCGTGTTTATATAATGATAATATTTTTTAAAAGATGTTGGTATAGCTTTAATATTTTTTCGGTCCACAGTAAGATTTGAGTTGAGAAACACTGATTTAGCGCATATTAAATAGTTTACCAGTTAGAGATAAAACTGTTTCTAATGAGTTATCTAATCAGGTAGAAATATTAATGTAGCTTAAATTAAAGTTTAAGAATATCATCCTTTAGATAACCTGATTTCAGTAGAGTCAGCATACTTCAGCATTGTAATGAGAATTTAAAGAAACTGTTAATACTAATAACTTGATAATCACTTGAAAGTGGTTATTTTGTAAACGCATCCCACTACATTTTTGAAACACAGCCTGAGAATTTGCCTGGTGTCTCCGATAAAGTTAATGAAGATATAAAAAAATTGTAAAAAAGTTTCAAAATATACGACTTAGGTATAAATTATGATACAACTTATATCAAGCTTCGTCTAATCATATATGTATGTGGATTGTATATATTTTTAGTTTGAAGGTACTGGAGTTCATATATTAATATACTGTTGTGGAAAACTACTCAATAGGATATGATAAAGATCTAGGCGTGCATATTATTTGTATATAATTTTTAGTTTAAAGATGAACTTACTTAACTTTATTAAAATTCGATTTCGATTACTCGTTCATTTAAAGTTATTACAATTTAGAGTGGATTAACTCTTTTTTTCTCTGGCTTTTGCCTATACATACAGCTAATGATCTTGATTTTATGTTGTTGTAGCCCGCTGGGGGATTCTTGTATAGTCCCTTTTTGGGGGTGTTAAACGACATTTGGTCATCGATATTGAGGAGTAGTTCCGGGACGTAGACCCGGTTGTTATTTGAACCTCTTAATTTTATAATTTTGAATATCTATTTCTACTGTGTCTATAAAATAAAAGAGCTATTAAAAATATATAAAACTATTTACACTATATATATATATATTTGTATAGATATATACAAATGCCATATGGCTTATATCTTCTTCGTAGGTTTGGATGGAACTTATTAATTAAGATTGATTGATATATATAATACACATTTGTTTAGATATATACAAATGGCTTATATCTGCTTCGTTGGTTGGGATGGTACTTATGAATTTCAAAGGTTAAGACTAGTAAACTTGTGATTCCAGCACTGAAGGATTCATTAAAGAAACATTTTCAATATAAAAAGATTGACAATGATTGGGCTCTAAAAGGATTACTGAAATATTGCTTTCATCGAACTTTCCTATCATGTAGATGCATATAAATGTAGTGTGCTGATAATATATCTTTGGTTCTTTGTTATTAAAAATTTATTGAATATAACCCACAAATTCGTCTAATAAAAATGTTAATAACGACAAAAATGTAATTGTAATTTGTCTAATAAAATAATATTAAAATAATTTTTTAATTTCTTTATAAAATAATTTTAGAGCTCCGACATGAATGCACGCCAGATGAACGCTTCATCACCGAAACGCTATAATGACATTTTGTAAAAGGTGGCTCTTAGATTGGAGGATATGGGTTACTATATGCATTGCATTAAGCCAAAGTAACTTAACTTAAGCATTCCTGCAACAAAAGCACATTAATGTAAATCCTTTCTACTATTAAGCAATCAATGAATATCCTTAAAAGTCATTAAATTACATTAAATTATCTTTAGTTACTTACAAAATATGGAAAACAGTATTTGACACAAAGTGCATGTTGAATTTTTTTTTTGTTGAATTTTGTACAATTTGTAAAGATTTGTAAAAAAGTAAACAAAGCATTCGATTTTTTAACAAGTAAATTTAATAATAATAAAATATTTTTACGAGGAAAACAACTTTGAGTTTTCGGTTTTTTTTACACTAAAGTATGTCGTAATAATACAATAACATTGCATATGTAAATTTTTTTTCTGTTTTCAATTACAATTGTGAATTGCAATACTTTTTAGCAATAATTAAAAATATTAATAAAAAATACATACACATAATTTTATAAATTTTTAACATTTTAAATGGTGTTATCACTTGTTCAACGTCTTCAAACATTAATTAATTATTTATATTTAATACACTACACAACAAATTCATTTTTCTAATATTGCTTTTTACATACAAATACAATAATAGTATATAGCATATATACTACATAATACATACAACAGCATTACTGGTACATATACATATATATATCAATCAAATAACATAATTGCAATAATAATAATAATAATAATAATATTAATAATAATAAATATATATATATATTTGTTTATATTATTAATAATACATAAAAATAATAGCGCACATATAAATATTTAAATTTATAGACAGAAAAAACAAAATTTATAATAAAAAAATAATGCTGATTGTTTTTAATTAAATATACAAAAGACAAACTAATTAGAATATTTACTAAGTTATTCATTTATGTTCATTTACGGTAAATAGTATTCGATTTAATATATTAAATTTAATAATAATACAATGAAGAAGCAGCATACGAAAGGAATTAAAGGTCGACATCAACAAAAACTGCAAGTACATTAATTTCTCACTTGCCTTAAAGTGGAATGTTCTTATCATTTTTATTAGAGTAAAGTTTGGAATGCTGGCTGTAGAGTTGTTGCATAGCTCACTTCCTTAATGGATCGAGACTTTCCAGTGAAAAATCATCAACTGAAATGCTGCTTAGCTTATTCTGCAAAATGAAAATAGAGATTAGTTAATGTATTAATTAGATTTGTTTAATGCAAGTGAGAAATACTATAATCCTTAAAGGGTTATAAGAGATATTTACGATTTCACGTAATGAGTTCAGTAATCTAGTGATATAACATAGTAAAAGACTAAAGGGAAAACATCAAAATATATTTCGGGAACAAATGTATTTTATACATGTTAACCGATCATCGTTTTGTGTCATCAATAGAGTACTACTAAGCCCTACATGTGTTAATAATGTCATTCAAGTCAACCTATAGATCTCATTTCTATAGGTAGAAATAGAAAGTATTACATTATTGTTCATTTATTGTGTACAGCTACTATTTTAGTCCAAGTTTAAAAAAGATAATTTCAAAAGCAAAGATTTTGTAAATGGAAAACATATTCATTAACATTAAAGTTTTTATTGTATTTCAACGTCCTTTATCGTAACTATGCAAGTTATATGTCCTAAACCTATAGAAGTATTGGATTCAGTCATTTATACAATATCAACTGAGTTGTTATGCACACTGCTATCAAAATCTCCAAGAACAGCATGGTCTATGCCTCTGCGTCGGCATATAAGATTACTAACTCCAGGAATCTTACAATGAGGTCTACGAAACGGGCTACAAAAAAAAAACACCCAGTACACTAAAAGATTATCATCTTAAGTGTGTAAATCAGAGACCTATCTTTTGTATCGCTATACTTGTAAGGTCTTCAGCTTTTTAATATGTATTAAATTGGAATTACTACAATTTTTTGACCCGGTACCAGACTAACCTGCCCCTCATATTGAGGTAATTTTTTGCACATGCAGATTAAAGTTAACTAAACTCCTATTGTCTATGATAATTGCTTAAGTTTTGCATAGTGGTTTAATCTAATCTTGTCATATTAGACTTCTTATGTTTTTGTAACGAGTAAAATGTATCCGGAGTTATCTATTTCGTTTAGTTGACCTTGTTATTTTACTGAAGATGCTGAGATACTTAAAACAAATTAGAATAATGGCAATAGTACTGTCAAATTAAGATGAAATATCGAACTCTTAATGAAGAATATGATAATTCAGGAATATTGAATATCTACCACATAGCTGGAGTTTCATTTACTTGATTACGGTTGTGGAGCAACAAAGTTCTTATTTTCCGGGAAGAACTGCATTTACTCTTATTCCTAAACAATATTTTTCCCTTTTTGACTTTCTTTGACCAAATATGGCCTAACTCCTGTAGCTATATTTGTAATTCCATTCAGGTTATCTACTTTATAGACTCTACTATTACAACAGCAACATGATAATCTACAGTTTAAGGGGGGCCTACTATATGGTATTAGTAGGTTACTGAATAAAATAGTTATAATATGTAGGTCACAGGCCACTAAATAAAATTCGATTAGCTATTTTACCTGGAACCAGAAACAAATGATAGATTGTTCCGATGAGATAGAATAGATGTAAAAAGAATTATTGGTAAAAATAAAAAATTAGGAGCAATAAAGAATGTTATTGCACGGCAGGCTTATGTCCTTTGTGGATTATCACACCATGAAAGAAGAATTTGCGATGGCAAGAAAAGCATAAACTCGAATAATCAAAAGGAAAGGAAAATATTATTTTCTAAACCCATAGTTTTCTAAGAAAACACAATTTTATAATGTGCACTATCTTTTCAAATAGTTATGTTCAATGTTAAATGTGCTTACCGTAAAAATACTAGGTCCATTAACGTCGAATGGATCTGAACCGAACAAATCCGCATTTCCATTCAAAATATGATTGTTATTATTGTTAGTAGTATTGATATTGTTGTTGTTGTTACTGGTTGTTGAAGTGCTGCGTCTTGATGCAGCCATTTTTGGTGGTGGTGCAACTAAAATAAAGAATAAATTTTAATAAAAGTTTCAATAAAAATTGAATGTATATAAAACATACGTAATGGTGGCGGTATGTTGATCTCGTTTGTAAAACTATTTATATTATTAATAGTGCCATTATTGTTCAATTTACTTTCGCTATTATTATTAAATAATTGCTGACCATACGTTTTCGCTGGTTCAAAGCCAAATAAATCACTGCTGTCATTTTTACTGCTACCGCTGTCAATCGATTCATCAGCACGTGGGTCGAAGTCACTATCTGAATCAGAGTTGAGTAAGAGTTCCTCCATTTTTTGGCTGCTGGATTTATGCAAAATTTGGCTTTGTATTGAGTTACGTGGCGGCACCATAGGCACATACGATGTCGAATTGGAAGATTTATTAGAATGACTTGAATTCGTATCAATCAATAACTTATCGTCGTTAGCTAAAGAAACGAAATAAAAACAAAAAAAAAATTAAAAAAATAAACAAATTTTTTTCAAGTTCAATGTATTGCTTGGAAACCTACTCATTTTAATGCCATTGCCATTTGCAAGTGGATTACTGCTCTCATTAGATACTTCTAAAATATCTTTAATGCCCATTTTAAATAGTAATGTATCTAAATCGGCTTTAGAAATTTTAGTTGATAACTCACGCAGACGATTTTTATAGATCGTAACCGTTTTTTCCAAGTCAGCAATTTGTTGTTGTGCTTTACCCAATTCCGTTTTTTCGGTGGTGTTCATGTATTTTCTGAAATTTAAGTTTAAAAGTATTATTTAATTTAAGCAGGAAATTTTTTATCGATACTAACCTATAGGCTAACTCAAAAGCTTGACCAATGGTCAATGTTATATCTGAAGCCAACTTATTAGATATGAACACAAAACACTCATGCGATTCTGGTGTATTGCTGCTGCCGCCAGTGCTGCTGTTGGAACTGACGTTACTACTTAAACCATTCATGTTTCCGTTCCCATCTAATGGCTTCACATTTTTAGCTATAAAACTGAAGAACTTCTTAACACCTTTTTCATCTGCACAGTATGATATATTATGTAGAGGAAATTGATGCAGTATCTTTTGAGTACGTGGTTCTTGCACTGCCACTCCATCCACACTTATTGTTATTTCGACTTTCTTAAATTTCTCCTGAGTCCCTGTCTCAGCTTTTTTCATTTGTTGCGCAAATTGTAATTTACGTATGGCATCCTTGACTACCTCAATGCCTTTAGGTTGATCAACCATAAGATTTCCAAAAAACTAAAATTACAATATAGTTTTAATTTTAATACTAATATATCATTAGAAACCTTAATTTAAATAATTTTCTTGCTCCTATATATAGGAAAGATCTAACAAACCTTGACTAGATAGACAACATGACCATTGACAAGTGCGTCTGGCGTGTGTAACCAATTCTTTTTGGCATTCTTTGCATCGTTTGTGGCCTCTTTATTGTTTGAATTGTTGTTATTGTTGTTGTTATTATTATTTTGCTTATTCCAGAACATCAATTGTGACATCGTTGTACGTCTCGTTTTATTGGGATCAAAAAAATATAGAGAAAAGATTTAGGCCAAATCTGAAAAAAGAAAGAATAAATAATTCTTTAATTTTCTCAAAAAAATTAACTAAGTACACAAACAAAATGCATGGATAAAGCAAAAATTATTGAATGCTGACATGAGTCAAAGAATTTCTGAGTAATATAATCTTCATTGTTAATCTGAAGCACAGAATGTAAGTCTGAATTTCTTTTAATACACAAACACTTGAGTAAATTTCTTGGAAAATTTGTAAAAAATGATATGCAAAGCTATCGCCTCTTACAGTGGGATTGAAAACAGTTCAAGGTTCAAAAAACATATTTATGACAGAGATTTATAGAACAGATTACTTAGATCTTGTAAAACTTGTTTCAAAGGTGGTAGGTACGACCGAGTATTAGTCCAGGAGTGATTTGGTACCACCCAATACACATTTTAATCAAAATTTATAAAACAGTCTGAGCAATCTTGTAAGACTTGTTTTAAAGGGGTAGCGAGAAACTGGGTATTAGTTTTGGTGACCATCCAATACACATTTTGACAGGGATTGATAAAACAGAATTTGACCAATCTTAGAAGAATTGTTTTAAAGGTGCCATGAATGACAGTGTATTAGTCATAGCGCCATTTGTTTAACCAAATGAAGTTGCATTTGAAATTGCAGTGAAACAGTTCAAGGCCGAGAATACACATAATGACAGAAATTTATAGAACAGGCATTGACCTTGTACGTCTTGTTTTTAGTAGATTCTAGGAACGACCGGGTATTCGTCCTGGAGCCATTTGTCTATATACCAAATTAAACTGCACTTTTGTTTAATAAGATAAATCTAACTGAATCTAGTATTTGGAGTGTTCTAATAAACAATAACACAGTAAAAATCACTATACGGATCAGTGGAGAGTATTGAAATAGTAAAGAGCATAAAGTATGTACTACAAGAAAAAAATAAAATGATTATAATTAAAATGATTAGTGAGGTAGAAATTTTAAAACTAATATAACACGCAAAATTGACTTGTAAAATATGAAACGATAAATCAATATTTTCAATATTTATAATATGATATATAATATATATAATATAATATATAATATATATAATATAATATATATAACATAATATATATAACACATCTTTAGTAAAATATATTTTACGATCGCTACGTACAACGGATGGGATATAATCCACGTATACAGAATTTACCTTGGATTAGACCAAAATACTGCAAGGAATGTTACATAGTATTTGTATGTATTGTTTCAAATAGACCATGCGTACTTTTCCATTATATCTCTAACTTATACTGTATTGAGAAAAGTGTACCAAAAATTATTTTGAATGATTGAAGTCAGTGGTAGCAGTAGTCATTATAAAGCGTGATATTTTTTGGGATGATGCACTGGTTCAAATTTTATATCTTGCCTTGTGAAGCACACTAAACACATTTCCCGGTCCCGAAAATAGATATAATTAGTGCATTTATGTACAGTTATCAAAATAAAGCTTTCATGTAGTTTCGATATCTTTCACGTAGTTTTTTCCTTAAATCTTATATAGACTAGAATTATATAGAATTGCTTGCTTGGAATAGTAAGAAAAAAAGAATAGTGATGGATTTTTTTTTAAAAGATTGCGAATAGATTATATTGCTAATGGTTAAAGTTTTTATTTCCAGCAAACGGCTAAAATGTCATAGCTGTTAACTTTATATATATAATATACTTATTATAAATTTCTTTTTAATACACAACAAATTTAAAATGAAATAAATAAAGCTAATATACTATTACTGCTACTATTGCTAATTGCAATTACTGCACAGAATATCGCTGTAACCATATATTCTTATATATCACATTTATCAAGTATCAGAGATATTTATTAGATCTAGACATTGTATAAGTTTATTAATAATAAAATATGGTAAAAAAAAATTGCAGATTTATTTGCAGTATTTGCTTTTGACATAGAATATATAATATTACGTGGAATTTACCTTAATAAGAGTTAGTCACAAGTATCGGGACTAATAATGTGGCTTAGATATTATATCATTTTGAAAAATCATTTTTAATAAGAAGTTTTGAAGAGTTGTTGTAGAAGAATAGTGAATAGAAGTATTTACTGGCAATTTATTAAGTAATTTTCCCAATTTATCAAGAATTTATTTTTAAATCTATATTTCAGTTTTCAGCTGGGCATAGAAATTTACAAATGATCCGAGCTAATGGGTAAGTCTATTTCCAATAAGATTTTCAATTAAAACAACGCTAAGTTAGACTTTAACTGTTGTGTGGTTACATTAGATACGCTTTAAGCTGCAATATAAAGAAATGCGTTTGATAAAGGAGTGCAAAACTAATCAAATTCAGGAGCTACTCATTTTTCAGACAAATAAGTGCGGCTCACCTTTTCCTATAGGGACTCAAAGCAAACTTTCAACAACAAAAACATTTTTGAACAGTCAAACAAAATTGAACCTGATTTCTATTAACGTCCACATATATAACTGAAGAATTAAGAAGAAAAATAAATATTATTGCACGACAGAGAAACTTAGTTGGTTAGCAACAATCTATTAAATAATACCTAGATTTAGGTTTAAGACAAAATAGAATTTAAATTGTTTATAAATTAATATATATACATATAATAAAACTAATAATTAAATATATGGAAAAAAAATGTGATTGAAAAATGTTTAAAACTTTACCAGCAAAACCTGTTAAGAAATTGTTTATGAAAATATTTATAATTTTATTTTTTCATCCCACCTATAATAATAAATAAATAATTAACTAGAATCCAAGTACTTGCATAATAATTTTTACCTAGAACCCGAATTTCTAATACAACTCAGACTGATTCGTACTAGTATCCGTACTTCGGTGTTTAAAACAATCACAGAGCTACGAAATTTTCCGCTTCTAACATGCCAAGACCAAATACTATAATAAATGAGCAGAGTAAACTCTTGATTAATCGCCGTGACACCGTACTTCCCGCACTTGGCCCACTTTACTAATACATTCTTCTGATGTATAATTAGCATAAAGAATACAGAAGACTTATTATTAGCGGCAATAAAGCCAGCACATTTGTGAGCTTAGTCTGAAGCGCGAAGAATGCATCAAATAAAGTCAACAATGAGAATGTCTGATGATGATGAATTCGACGATTAGATTCGAGTCTACTGCTCGGACTCAAGTAGTATGCAGTTGTCTGTGTGTATATGTACATGCATTAGAGAAACGTAAGATACCAATCGGGAAAAACCACTCATTTCCACCGGCCCGGCCCGGCCCGCTCGACCACATAATAGACAAGTGTTCAGTTAATTATGAGATTTTTTCTAGCTTTACTTGATGCAACTTCAGCGCTTTTTTTTTATCTGAAATTATTTAATTGTTTTTATTCTTAGTGAAATCGTGTTCAGCATGTTTCGAGCGTGACGCCACAAGTATTTATTTTTACCAAGACTAATTTACTTTTCAAAATATATAAAATTCTAAATGATCTCTTAAATTACGAGCACTTATCTCAGATATACAATTTGTTATCTATAAATTTTGTTTAATGCAGGTTAACAAATTAGTCAGGGGAAAAAAATCTGATCTTGTTTGAAGAAGGAAAGCAAGCAAACGCTTCTGCATAGGGTCTAAAAATATTTTTTATTATCTATGTTTATCAAAAAAAAATAATATTTGTTTAATTGGTGCATTATTTTCTAGAACATTTTTATTTTTTGACAACTTTATAAATATTTATTTGATGCAGATAATTTTTTATGATTTCAACTAATTATGTCAGCTCATTACAAGTACCCTTTATTTCTTAAAGTAGATTAGTTGACAAGTTAGCCATGGTTCCATTAATCGGTAATATAATCTAATAAACAATTTCTTAAACAAAATCTTAAGAGTTCGTTACAAAAGACAACTTTTGTTTGTTAAAGAAGGGCCTAACTTGTTCCAAAAAGTTATAAAAGAATATTTTATTTTAGAAAACTGATAGAGGTGTCCGTTAAGGAAGTTTCTGCTATCAAAGCGCGTTAAGGTGACTCCACACCAAAGCGAACGCTTATGAATGAATATTGAATGAATACTGTCGACACAAATATAATAGCCAGTTTTTTGTCGGAACTACAAGAAAATGAATTAAAAACTAGAAAAAATATTGACCCTAGAATCAACAAGAGGGAAATAAATGTACTTAGAAAAACAAAAGTTTCAAATGCTATAAAATACGACAAAAACTGAAAATAAAAGAATATGCCTTTGATCTGGTGAAAGACTCCACATAACTGGGATTAAATCTAAACTTTAACATATAATAATGTTCATAAACAAAGCATATTACGATATATTTATATAGCTCTAATATTACAACTTTGAAAAACAAACATCTGCGATTATATATCAAACTCTAATATCACAAATTCTAACGTATAAACTCCGAAAAAAAAATTATATGAGGAAACTGAAAGTTAAAGTTCACCGGATCTTTAGAACAAGTAAAGACTATAGCCTGCAATGAGTTCTTCAGATTGTAGTAGGTATATCATAATTTGCAAAGAGTGAGGATGAGAGAAAGTGAATTTTGATATAGGCAAAACCCCAATGACAACGAATATTGTGATATTGTTATATCAATATAGACGTATAAAGAAAATGTGAATATCTTCAGATATTTCGGAAAATTTCTGGGTGCCATTACTTTTGTAATAAATTTTTAAGTATTATTTAATATAGGTAATAATAATAATAATAATTTAATTTAACTGGGCTGAAGGTTCGTTATTTAATACATTATCTTAAGTTGATTACGCAGTTAAATATGATGATAATGATCATTGTGATATTGTTATCCTAATATAGAAATATAAAAAAAAATATGATTAGTTGCAGATATTGCCCTATACTGACTAAGAGGATTTCCGGATGCCATTCATTTTGTAATAAATTTCTATGTATTATTTAATATACATGTAATAAAATTTAATTTTACTGAGCTTAAGGTCGATTATTTAATACTTGAATAATAAATTACATAGTATAACAGTATACAGCATAACAGTATACATTATAACAGTTTACTCATTAAACATTAAACTGATATTAATGAAATAAAGGACATTGTTGCCGTTGTAACCAATTTTGTGTTCGCATTTAAAACAAAAACCATTAAAATGTACATAATAGTTGATTTTACAGACAAGAGCTCAAAACTAGTTTAAACCTTTAACAAAAAATAAAAAACTATTATTAAGAAATGTTGGAAATATAATTTAATTGCTTCCTTTGATATAAGGCAGTTTACTTGGTGTTTAATTTTTGTATAGTAATAAATATCATTGAAAGCGGATATGAGTCTCCACTTAAAGCTAGCAGCGCATATCACAGAATTTTATCACTCTTCGACATTACAATTTCCTTGCTGTAAGCAACTTATCAGTATGGCAACTTGGTATGGAGTTCGGTAGCGATAATTAACACGACTTCAAAAATAAAATTAATTATAATTATTGCATGCATTTCGGTCGCTGTTGTTGTTGTTGTTTTCAAAAAATGCATATAATTTTATTTATTTTATTGTTATTAAAATAATATGTAATTATATGCAAATGATTTATTTTGTACAATTTATCTTATAGGGTTATCACTTTCTATATTGTAATTACACAACAAAGGGAAAGCGTATTTATGTCTACGAAAATATTTATTAAAAATGTTTGCAAAATCAATAACAACACCATTTGGGGTAAAGAAATTTCATATATTGAAATGAAAACAAAAGTGCAAACACCCTGTATGGACATACATAATTACGTTATTACTGCTACGGAAGTCATTGTCGTCACTCACGTTGATTGTACACAAACGACGTTGACGGTTGTTGATTGTTTAAATTATTTTCTTTAATATTCAAAATGTGTTTGCTTTAAATTTTATTTTTCTAATATTTTAAGCATACATGTTTTATATATAATTTTTTTTTTTTGTAAATGGAGTTGTAAACAGAAACGGTAACATTGGCCATTTTAGCTGTGCTGCATATGTACCAGGCGTTAATAATACATGACACAATTACAAATTTGTTGCTGAAAAGGTTTTTTTTTTGAATGAAATAAATTTTGTTTTTTTAAGTACGAATACTTATAGTTTATTGTTGTAACAAATTAATTTCCCAAAAATCAAAAAAAAAAAAAAATAAAATAAAAGGAAAAAAATTCGATAATAGTTTTAAATTTTGGTAGTTGCAGCAATTAATGACAGGAATGACCAACAAACTACCCATACAACCATCAGAAGCAACTACCTATCAGTATGGAGAAAAAAAAGCAGGAGCGGCATTATTTCACACACAAAACTAATTCGATTTCACACATAACATAAAGCACACACAACTACGGTTCAAATAATTTTTTTTTTTTTGTGTTTTGCTTCTATAGTCAAGGCACTAATTTTGCAATCAACCAATTTGAAATTAAAAAAAAAAAGATAGAATTTTTTTTTTATTTATACGGTTTTTGTTTAGCAACTGTGTTTTTAAATTTTATTGTGCTTAAAATAATAATTTAATGATATATTACTTATTATTTCAACATATATGTCATATATTATTAGTTATTTGTATATATTTCATGATTTTAGCACAACCGCATTGACGTTTAAAATTATTTATTGTGTATTTTTGTTGTAATTTTTTTTTCATTTTTGTTAAACTTTTTGTGCAATCCTAACTCACTCACAACAAAAACAACTGTTAACTTAACAAAGTAAAAACCAGACAAACAACAAATCTACACTCACTTTGAGCAAAAGCCGTGATTTTCTCTGCTTCTTATTCCCAACACAAATCAAGATTAGAGATTCCAATTGAACTTTTCCTTTAAAATTAATTATTTGTAAAAAAAATAAAAAACAACAAAGTGAAGAGAAAAAAAATACATAAAATAAAAAAATTTACATGCATAAAAAATAATTGCAAATGTCGACACACAAAACAACAACAGCAACAATAATAAAATCATCATATAAAATTGACTTAAATCAAAATTTAAATAAAATTGTAAATTAGACTTTATATTTTGTGGTTTTTACACATTTTTAATTATACATTGATGTAGCTGGAATGGTATATTATTGTGAATATATACAACAATATATTTAAAAATATTTTGTTTTTTTTTTATTTATGTGTTATTTTTGTTTTTATTTATTTTTTTATTTAATAGCAGACGTACCCTAAAAAACAAGTTTCAAACTTAAATCAATTATTTCTTTTGTATTAACTGCGTTTTAAAAATTATTAGAAATTCACTTGAATTTTTTAAATTAAAACGAAAAAGCCCGTAATTTCACAAATAAATTAACAAAAAAAAAATCAAAACATTTAAAATCTTGCAAAATGTATTATTAATATTTTACATATATCTATAGTATTTATATACAATTTACAAACGAAACCACGACACGACCCACGATTTAACGCTACCAACGAAGCACTTGAACTAAAACACTGATCGTCCAGTATTTTGATGTTGAGCGGAGTAAAAAACCCAAAGAAAAAATTATTCAAATTATTGTATAAACACAAAAAGAAAAATCTTTGTTTGAGCCACATTGCTCTGGCGCTACATTTCATTAAACGGCATATTCGACTATCAACTCAGTGTATTTGATGGGAACAGTACCACCAGCATAATGTGTTTATGCATAAGTAGAAATTTTAAATTTTGAATCGGTTTTAAAATAGCAGAGATTATTTGAGAACATTATAATCTAATGGACATTTTTGATATCTATTGAGTTAATTTATGTAGATCGTTCATGTGTTAAGAATGTCGTAATCGAGAATTTTCAACTCGAAAAATATTATAATCCCATGAATAGTAATGATATCGATTAACCTAACTTACGTGATTCAGTCATGTGTTAAAAAAGTCACAATCGAATTCATAAACGCAAGAATATTATAATTCCGATGGAAGCCCCTTGTAAAAGAATGTTACAATTGATAATTTTCAAACCCAAAGACATTATAATTCCATTGACAGTATTAATATCGATAAAGCTAAAGGTGGTTCAGTCATGTGTTAAAAATTAGGCAATCGAGAATTTATAAACGCAAGAACATTATAATCTCATGAACTTTATTTTTGTTGTTGTTGTAGTAACGAATTTAAAAATAGTATATTAAGGATTATATCACCAGAAGTCACTGAATATTTTAGTGTAATTGTTGCGAACACAGCAGTGATTTTGTCGATATTGATACTATGATGGAATGTTAAATCTAAAAATAATTTAAACTCTAAACTTGCACAAACCATCTTAATAGGTAATGGCAGTCAAGGAAGAACGAATCTTCCTCAGTTAGCTAAAAAAGCTGTTTTGATTTCACCTTCTTTGTAATTGTGGGTAAAAGTATGGGCATTACAAGATATTCAAGTAAAACATATAACATGTTTTATTGAAATGAAAATGTGATGATCTATTTATTTCTATCCTTCGGGAAATGTTAACAGTTCAAGAAATACTAATATTTGTTCAGGTGTTTTGACCAGTAATAATGTTAGAAATATCGTTGAATATGTCAAACAATTGCGTTTCCATAGCTAAAGCCTTGTTCTGAACAAGTTTGGATAGAGACACAATTACAGTGCTTCTGTATCTTCTCCCGTAGATATTAACTACAACCCTATCGTCCTATCGTTCAGTTTCCAGTTAGGATATATATACCTAGTTACGTTCGATGTACTTCTATGATCTCTCTTGATACTTAATATAAGATATTTAATATACTGAGTCAGTTTTTATTTATTTATGTATTATTTATATTATTGAGATAAATATTTATTTAATGACGTCAAAAAAAATTTTAGTTAGCTTTAATTTCTCACTTTTTTCCAGTTAAGTAAATAACCTGATGTTATTTCGTTTTTAAGGTTCTACACTTGACTCGCGATGTACTAACACTTAATAGTATGAAGACAAAGATTTCATTTTTCAATTGTATAAATAAGTTAATAAATATTATGACATTAATATTGTATAATATATTGGACATAATACTACATTGTGCTGAAAAGAAGAGTACATACAAACACATCTCACTCATATCGTACTAATTTATTGTGCCGAATATAGCGTATTTGAGATCAGTTTTCTCTTCGGCTTAAACTGCTGTGGTTTATGTGTTAATATGTAGTTTTATTTATTTCTTACCTTTTTCTTGTATACCTGTTGCTGCCACCATAAATGTTGGTTGTACTGCTGATGTAAGTGACTTTTTTTAAAAAACAGGGTGCTACAATTAGACAAGTAACTTAATATACCTCAACAGGTAGTGTTTGTATACAAACATATGTGTGAAGATTTTTGCTATTTGTTCTTGTGTTGTGTGTTTGTAATAATTTCTAATGAATTATCTATTAAACATCTGTTCGGTTCTGTATCAAATTATAAGTGCACACACACATATATGTGTGTGTATATATTTTGAGTATACATATTTAGTTAGAAATTCGTCATAATCAAGTTACCAATAGTCACAAGTGAGCACACACACGCACACACACACATACATTTCATAGGTAGTGCAAATAAATTGAATATTTTGCCATTTTTGCAAACATACCCGTGTATACAAAATGAAGAAGAAGAAGAAAAAAGTATGTAATTTTTGTTGGTTTATTAAATTGCAATAAAACAGGTTTTTTTTTGTTTTTTTTTTGGTTGATTTTGTTGGGTTTGCGTAAAATCAACATTGTTGTTATTTTTATGCTTAAAACATTTTAATAAATTTGTATATATTACCAGCAGCTTTTCTATTATTTTACTTTTGACAGACTATGTGAGATTTTTAGTCAAATAAAATTTTTTTGCTTGACTATCAAAATTTGATATTTTCACATTGTTTTTTTTTCTTTTTCTTTTCTTATTTCTTTTTTATTGGTTACCATACTTGTTGATATGACTCAAAGTTGTTGTTGGTGTTTGTGTAGTTTTGCACATGTTGCATAGGCAGTGTGGGTCTTGCATTACATCGCATGCGTGCATGCAGCTAATGAACGCCTGAATAAGAAAGAAAATTTGTCTAAGAGGATTATAAGTCATTACGGTTATTTTGTTTGAATGGTTTTGCATATAATTTGTTGTTGCATTCCATTGGAGGTTGTTTTTCTTTTTAATTTGCATTAATTTTTTATGAATTATTAATTTGTTATACTGTTACAATTTAGAGAGAAAAAAATTAAGCGCTTTTTATTGAAATGCATATATTATGCACAATTATTTTAATAAATATTTAAGTGCACTATTTATATTATAAGCAATTTTTATTGCACATTATGTTTGTTTGTTTGTTTGTTTGTGTGTTTGTTTCTTGTGTGTTTTGTTGTGCATTGTGCTTGATGTTGAATGTTGTTCATTGAAGTACGAAATTCATGTTCAAATGTTAAGTCATGGAAAAAGTATGATTAAAAAAAAATATCCATGACATTTCATATTTACATTAAGCAATATTTTTTATATTATTATTTTTGTCAAAGTGGCTAGATTGTTTGATTTTGACTGATCAAGTTTTGTCAATAATTAAAAACTTTACAATATAAACCTTTTTTTAGGTTAGAAAAGCATCCTTTTTCATATATACAGTCAACTAAGTTATAAGAAAGCTTCTTAAGCCTTTTGTTGGTGCTATTAATGTTAGAGTAGAACATCTAAGCCTTGTGTTGTTGTTGCTATTAATACTAGAGTGGAAAGTTTTATCAAACATCCTTTTATATATAGACTCGATCAAGTTTACGAAAAAGCTTGTTGAAAGCTTCTTGAGCCTTATGTTGTTGCTGAAATAGTAGAGTAGGAAGTATTGTAAAGCTTCGTTGCATATATATAGTCTCGTCTAAGTTAAGAAAATGCTGTTTAAGCCCTATGCTGTTGTTGGAATAGTAGAGTAGAAAGTTTTATAAAGCATTATTTTTAAGACTAAGGTTGTTGCTATTAAAGCAAGAGTGGGAAATTTTTGTAAACATCCTTTTATACATACACTAGACTAAGTAACGAAAAAGCTTGTCAAAAGCTCCTTAAGCCTTGTGTTATTCTTATTAATGATTGATTGGAAAGTTTATTAAACATCTTTTTATGTATAGACTCGACTAAATTTACAAAAAAGCTTATTAAAAGCTTCTTAAGCCTTGTGTTTTTGCTGGTAATAATAGGGAAGAACTTTTATTGCTCTATGAAAATAAATGGGGATGAAAGAAATATCACTTTATCCTTGTTATTGTTTATATAGGTTTTTAAATGTAAACAATTAAGAACTCTTTGACTCTGATATGATATTAACTGATATGCACTTAATTGTATTAAAAGTTTTATTGTCAACTACATTACTTAGTAAGTACGTAGGATGAATAACAAAATAACACCTTTTAGGTGAAATTTCGTTTTATTCTGCAAATTATTCGTATTTGATATATTCATCTATAGATTTTAATGGCGCGACGAAAAACTGTTTGAGACCAAATTGGAATGTAAATAGTCAATATAGGACTACAGTTGGTTATGGATAATAAGAACGAAGAAACTTGGTCAATTATACAATTGATCTCAGAAGAGTTTACATTATCAGGAGTAATGCAAAAAATAATAGAAATTATCGAAAGTTTAAAAATTTAACCTGTCAATCGTTCAAAGTAGATTATAAAGTGTGTCTACACTAAAACCAATTTTATGCTAATACCAAAGGTTTCGTAATACATACTAGTACAATATAAAATGACACCAATCAGAATCAATCAGAATAGATCAGTAGGATCTATTCATAAAGAAAATATGGAGGATAAATACTGAAGATGTAGAACACCAAAAAAATTGATCACTAATTAGTATATTGTAAATACAAATAATATAACATACAGTAACAGAAGGTTTCATAATACATAATAGCAAAAGAGTGGATGCTAAAAAGTTTTTAGCATTTTTAGTAAAAACCATAAACTGTAACAGATCTATTATTAAAGAAAAAACTGAAGATAAATACTTAAGATATGTAGCACCGGGCAAAACAATTGATCAATTATCACTATGATGTAAATACTTAGTTTTCAGTGTATACATAAAGAGATATAATAACGCTTCCATCAGTGAACATTTAGCAGATCTATTGTATCTGGTATATGTAAAATAAAAAATTATTTTAATGACCAAAATAACAAATAAAATAAAATCAAATAATTTGTAATAAAATAAACCACAACTAACTAAAATAAACTAACTAAATTTATAAAAAAAAACCTCAATAACATTGAAGAAAGTCTACGAAGTAGACTGAATTGTCTATTTTAAAAAAATTAACTATTAATATTGAAGTTTAAAATTAACAAATAAAATTAATGTTTTAATTTACATATTTTTTTTTATATAATTTAAAGTAAAAAACAAATGCTTATTGAAAATAAAGTAACTACCATATTTTTGTGTTTATAATCGTACAAGACATTTTATATGT